GAGAGAGAGAGAGAGAGAGAGAGAGAGAGAGAGAGAGAGAGAGAGAGAGAGAGAGATGCTAACATGCTCACAACTGGTTTTCTTGTGAATGCAGCAACCTGTCGTACGTACTCTTTACATTAAGAAACAAAATGAAATAGTTAAGGGACTCACGGGATGTCATCCAGTCACGCAGTGCTGTCGTAACTGCCAGCAGATGCTCTGTCTCCCAAATCAGTGCAAATCTGTGAGTGGCATTGGCAACAGCAAGAACAAGAAGCGCCAGCATGACTCCACCTGCGTTAGAAAGACGTATGGACGGACGCAGGATATCATGACGCAAGAGAGGAAAGAAGTTGGAGAGGAGGTATTGCGGGGGAATCCCAGCATAAGACGAAAAAAGAAAACGTTAGGAGTAACAGGACACAGAGATGTCATTCTAAGTGCTTCCTCCTAGCAACAAGTCAAAGTCAAAACAACAGTTTGACTACCAAGTTTTGCTGTATGCAGTGCGCCAGGCGCGCTCGGGCGCCACGTGGGCACACAAGATGCGCCGCAAGTATGCCTGAGTGATTCTGAAGTGCTTCCTCCTAGCAAGAAGTCAAAGTCAAAACAACACTCCCAAACAGTTTGACTACCAAGCTTCCTCTCCTTGGAGCAAGTCAAAGTCAAAACAACAGTTTGACTCACAAACAGTTTCACAACCAAGGCTCCTCCTCTACCCAGACAAAGTGCTTAGATAGATCCCCCCATAGGAAGAGGCCAATTTGCCACACTTGTGCCGCTATGTTTCTTTCTTTCTTTCTTTCTTTCTTTCTTTCTCTCTTATTATTATTATTATTATTATTATTATTATTATATAATATATATATATATATATATTTTTTAAGCTCTCTTTTCCTCATATATGGGGGGCAGGTGTATTCACTACACCGTTATCTTCTCTCAATATTTTTTCCACCTCACACAAACTGCTTACATACCTTGCGCTTCACTGACCCCCGTACCTAGCATTGCGCTATGCCCCATCTATGCACCCAAAAGCCCACATCTAGTGCTATCGACACACCGATATAGCATGACAGGACCGGGAACCGACCGACCTATATTGATCTTCTAAGTTCACCTTACTGGAAGAAGGGCTTAGGGCAATACTGACCAGTCCCACACAATAGCAATACCATTATAGCACTAACAACACCGCTGAGCTGTGAAGCAACAAACATGGGTGTGAGAAAACGCTTATCCACACCGCTGAACCACGGACACAAGGCGGAAAACCAAAACCAAAGCTGAGAAAAGCTTTGACAGCTAAGCAGTGAGCACCCACCCACAAATGATTCCGAACGACACTCTGTTTCACTTTTTTTGATTGGCTTGTGAGAATTGAGGAATGGGTTGGGCCAGGGCGAGCAACGTGCCTAATCTCACCGTTCTGCATCACCATCTGGACCCTCCCACGGAAGCACAAAATCTTCAGGCTTGTGTATCAATCCCGACACAAGAATTGTTACAGCTAAACACTGACAAAACACAGAAGAGGAACACATTACATAAGTCAGCAAAAGAGAGGGAGGGGGAGACAGGAGGAGAGGAGGAGAGGAGGAGAAGAGGGGAGGAGGAGAGGAGGAGAGGAGGAGAGGAGGAGAGGAGGAGAGGAGGAGACAAGCAGAGGAGTAGACTAGCAGAGGGAAAGAGAAGGCGAAAGGTCGTGCATTGCAAAGTTGTGAACATAATGTGGGAGTGCTCGTACCACCTCTCCTAGCAAAGACACTGGTTCTTTTAAAAAAAAAAAAAAAAAAAAAAAAAAAAAAAAAAAAAAAAGTAAATCATTTAATCTGATTTCCATAATGATAATTTTGGAATTATTTCAGACTCCAGAGTCCCCAGACATAATTCAACTTCACGATAATGTTCATAACTTTTTATTTTTATTTATTATTATTTTTTGAATCTAAGGATAATCTGTAATCCCTTGAACCTGAATCGGACACAGCTTTTGTCATCTCAATGAAACGCGATCATATCAATCAGACTCAATCTACCGTGATAAAAATAAAATAAAATTATAAAATAAAATAAAATAAAAAAATAGACTCAGGCATCTCAACGGCAATTGTTAAACCAAAGGCTTGTCCCATTTTGAAAAATACTGTGCTACCAGAACCGGTCGACAGAAAGCTAAAAATAGACGAACTGTCACAAACACAACAACAACAAAAAAAAAAAAAAAAAAAAAAAAAAAAAAAAAAAAAAAAAAAAAAAAAAAAAAAAAAAAAAAAAAAATCCCAGATCTGAGACCATGGAACAGGCAAGCTAAAATATTTTTCAGGAGATGACAGCGGGGAACATTCAGAGAACAAACTGAGATAATGCGCCGAACAAACTGAGATAATGCGCCGACATGAGTAGAGACTCTAGAGAGGTTTTGGGAAAAGAAACTTAATATCCAGCTTCAAATTTTGATCCGGTTAAGCGCCGGATTCTGTCGGTGGGGCTAGTCTTCGCATTTCCAAACCTAAATAAATAGTTGTTTTTCTTTTCCCTGGTATTTACTATTTACTAATTAGTATTTTATAATTTTTATTATTTAATCTTTTCTTTGTGTGTGAGGACCTCCTCGCTTCCCACCTTTTTTTTTTCGTGTGTGAATCAGGGAAGTTTTGGCGCCTACCGCCGACGCCTACCAGTCGGGCCGACCCATCGGCAGACTGCCTTGCAAATTTTTTTTTTTTCCTGATTACATGGTCATGTGCGGCTTGAGGAGAGCAGCCCAAATCCGTAATCATTTTGTTTGGAGGTGGTGGGAGTTATAGGGGGAGGTATAGGGGGGTTATAGGGGGGTTATAGGGGGGTTGTAGGGGGTTGAGTGGGGGGTATGAGGGTGTTAGGGGGAGGTATGGGGGTGTTGGGGGGGCGTATGGGGCTGTTGGGGTGGGCTATGGGGGTTTTGATAGGGTTATCTGGGTTCAGGACCAAAAAAAAAAAAAAAAAAAAAAAAACTTTTTTTAAATTTATTTATTTATTTATTTATTTTTGCGGGGTGCCGACCGACCCCCACCGGTAAGTAATAGAGAAAGCAGAGTCGGATAAGACCGACCCGACCGGTAGGTGCCGACCAGCCGACCGTCGGCTGGTCGGCGCCCGACCAATCCAGGGGCGCCGACCGTCGGCGTGACTACTCTGGTGCGAGTGGTTTTCCGGAGTCTCTTCAGTTTTTGTTCTCCCATCGGTGAAATTGTACATGAGTGTTGATAATTCCCGACCACCATGCATTGTCGTTTTCTTTTTTTTTTCTTTTTCTGGTGATAATCTGATGTTGTATGCAGCTGCTGAAAGTCCCCGACCAGGGTTTCAAATCCCGGCTCAAGGCGAGTTGGTAGTTGTTCATATATTGATCTGTTATTTTAACGTCTTTATCTTACATGAAAATGAAAAACAAAAATCAAAAAGTGCTCAGAAAACCAAAAACAATGTGCTTCTTTTCAACAAAAGACGAGCCCTCCGCCCTTGCGTTGGCTCGCCTGAGTTGTTACGGAAGGACTAACTATGTTCACTGAAGAAGAAGATAATTTTACTACCGTCTTCACCCGAATATAATGCCTGGTCATTATAGCTGTGTATTTGGGGCATTTTTCAGTCCAGATGTAGCAATAATGACCGGGCGTTCTATTCGGGGGTGAAGACGGTAGCAATTTAGCAGTGCCTGCAATTTTAAGGATGCTGCCTGCCTGCCAGCCTCTTGCATGTGTCGGAGCTGACAAAATCAGAAATTCCCAAAATTGGAAATTCCCATTATCAGGCCGGCGGCCTAGCTCAGTTGGTAGAGCACAAAAGCGGCATTCAGGAGGTCATGGGTTCGATTCCCCACGGTCTTTATTCGAGCCCCCACAGCCTCCTGCAGCTCGCAACGGGTTCACCAGCTTAGATAGTCGGCCGGCTTGCCCCCCTCCCCCCCCCACCGGGTAGGGCTTGGTTTAGGGTTTTCCTTCTCCTCCTCCTATCCATGGCCTGGGGGGTTAGGACGACGCTGCAGTGCTTAGACACGGGAGCAGGTCGGTGCCAAGTTGCCAAACTCTTAGACCACTACTAGTACACGGCCCCAGCCTTGCAGTCCGAAACTTGTCGCCCACAAGAAAACGACCGAGGCTGAAACGTCAAATGCTGGGCCGGCCGTTGATAAATTGGATCGGCGGTCGCGTCTTCGTTTCGCGCTTCCAGAATTCGAGTTGTCAGGCCCGTGACCCAGGAGCCCATTTACTGGTGCTTGGCGCAACGGGTTCACCAGCTGAGATGAAATTGGCTTGGCCCCCCGGGTAGGGCGTGGTTTAGGGTTTTCCTTCCGCTCCCATCCATTGGCTGGGGTTAGGAAGAAGCTGCGGTGCTTAGACATGGGAGGAGGTCGGTGCCAACCCATAACTCTTAGGGCGCCCCCGCCTGCCTGCAATGCATACATAAAAATTGATACTCAAAGCTGGACTTAGATGAGAGGTTAGGAAGAATGAGGTCTATGACTGAAGAATATAGCTCAAACCGGGAGGATTTTACCCCTCGGCGTACTTGCGTAAGGCCCCGGCAGCGAGCGTGTGCCCGCCCTAAGTGAAGGCAGGCCGCCGAATCTCAATGAGCCCTGAATACGTCAAGTTTTGCAAATTTTGTCGGGCACGAGACAGTTGGCACGCGCCAGTTGGTTACATCCGCCCTGCTCGTGAGAATCTGAAATATTTGCGAGCCTTCCAGGCTCTTCCAGCAACGTGGTGAAAGCAGGGAGCACCGCACGTTTGTGCCTGGGTGGTTGGGCTTGCCTAACCAATTCGGTCCCAGGCCACAGTCTGAACGGGCCTGGGAGCAGACACTCTGGCCGAGACTGAAGCCTACTGGAAACTAGGTCTCACGGGGGCAAGCCAGTGACAATGAGCCCGCCACTTTCCATATAGGAAAGGGCCGGGCTGCGTACGGAGGACTCGGGCAGATGCATGTGCAAGTGGCAGGGCTGCTGGAGCAAAGGCTCGCGCTTGGCTGCGTGCTAGCGCTGTGTAGGAGCCGCAAGCACTGTCACCCGTAGAACAGGGCGCTGCTTCCAGGCAGCACCATAGCCAGGCTGGCTTGGATGAAGGTCAGCGGGGGTCTGGTGGTGGTCTTCGTGTATGAGGGAGAAGACGTGGGTGAAGAAGACGATGGAGAGAGAGAGAGAGAGAGAGAGAGAGAGAGAGAGAGAGAGAGAGAGAGAGAGAG